TTTGGAAAATTAATTTTTGGCCAACTTCGACAGGCCTTAAAAAACTTAAAAATGGAATTTTTCGTGCAAATAATAAGTTAATTTCTATTTTTAAAATGTGGAAATACAGTAAACTTCTATTACTATTAGGAATAACTAATATCTTTTTAATTCGACACATTTTAAGAGGTTTACGATCCAACATTTTCCGCCTTTGGGACGCCTGTCTTTAAAAGCTTATAACTTTCGCATAAAACGCCCGTTTGCCACAAAATCGGTGTCACATGAAAGAGTGAAAGACCTACTTTATGATGAATGCATTCAACTCATTTTTATGTTAGGTCTAAGCTATTAAATTTACGAAGTATTGCATCAAACGAATTTTTTTGATAGCTTTCTCCATGATTCTCATTTTTTCTGCAATCTCGTTGATAGTTCACATTTTAACCTTTCATATGGCACCAAGTTCATCGGTATGCGTCTACTAAGTAACAAGCTATGATAAAAAGAAGTACATCAAAAATTGTGTTTTTTGAAAAATTTTGTTTCTTTGGGGTCATGCACATCAATAGATGGCGCTATTACGATGTGTTAACCAGTGTTGTAAAACGTATTTTCATTCATGTGTCTTTAAAAGCTTATAACTTTCGTAAAAATTGTCCGTTTACCCCGAAACGGGTGCCATATGAAAGAGTGAAACCTCTACTTTATGATGAACGTATTCAATTCATTTTTGTTTTAGATCTAAGCTATTTAATTTACGAAGTATTGTATCAAACGAATTTTTTTGATAGTTTCCACAATTATTCTTACTTTTTCTGCAATCACGTTGATAGTCCACATTTTAACCTTTCATATGACACCAATTTCATCGGTATGTGTCTCCTTAGTAAAAAGTTAATCGTATTTTTCTTTTTCGATATTAATCGTATTTTTCTTTTTCGATATTATGTGCAAGCTATTAAATTTACGAAGTATTGTATCAAACGAATTATTTAAAAAGTTTTCTTCATGATTCTTATTTTTTCTGCAGTCACATTGATAGTCCACATTTTAACCTTTCATATGACACCAATTTGATCGGTATGCGTCTACTTAGTAACAAGTTTTGATAAAAAGAAGTACATCAAAAATTGTGCTTTCAAACGTGTTTTTCTTGCGCCTTAAGGTATGCTTTAGGGTGCCACAAGTATGTGCAAACTTACATCATTTTTCTAACTCATTTTTGGAAAATTGATTTTTGGCCAATTTCGACAGGCCTTACAAAACTTAAAAATGGAAATTTTCGTGCAAATAATAAGTTAATTTCTATTTTTTAAATATGGAAATGTAGTAAACTTCTATTACTATTAGGAATAACTAATATCTTTTTAACTCGACACATTTTAAGAGGTTTACGATCCAACATTTACGGTATTTGGGACGCCTGTCTTTAAAAGCTTATAACTTTCGCATAAAACGCCCGTTTGCCACAAAATCGGTGTCACATGAAAGAGTGAAAGACCTACTTTATGATGAACATATTTAACTCATTTTTGTATTTGGTCTAAGCTATAAAATTTACGAAGTATTGTATCAAACGATTCGTAAAATTTGTCCGTTTACCTCGCATTTTTTTGTTTGTTACCGCGCATTATTTATACATTTTCTGCACGCACGCTGATAGATCGCGTTTTAAACATTTTTATGGTATCAATTTTGTCTTTATGCACCAAGTTATGATAAAAAGAAGTACATTAAAAATTCTGATTTTTGAATAGTTCTTAGCCAGTGTTGCAAAACATATTTTGTTTGCGCCCAGGGATATGCTTCACATTTTCAATCGTTTTCATTGACGCACACATTAGAAAAAAATTGTCGTTTGTAAAAAGCCGATTTTTGAGAGATTTTCATTTTCAAGTAATAGGCGCCCAGCACCGAACAGTAGGGTGTATTTCGGAACATTGTTGAATTCAAATGCTAATAACTCAGCGACTACTTAACCGATTTTCAAAATTTGTTCACCAATCGTTCGAGAAAATTCTTTCGAGTTTTTTTAACACATTCCAAAACACATACATAAGCCCATGTTATATAAGAGCAAATTAGCATTATGTGGTGCGCACGATAAAACTTGTTGGAAGCTACATCCAAATTTTGCACAAGGTAATATTTCTTTTAAAGTTAAATTATGTTCGAAGATGGGACCCATCAGTCCACTCCTTTGTACTTTATAAACGTAATTTTAGCTGTCTCAGCTGTTGCATAACTTCGGAACTACTCGAGGTATTTTAATGAAATTGGTGTCATATGAAAGGTACATAGATTCATATTTGAAATCCAAGGTCTTCTAAAAATGGAAGTACATTTTTTTCTTCAATCAATTGAAAATTCGGACAACCTACAAACTGTGTTTGACCTCAAAGTATGCTATAATTTTTTTTACAAACGAGCAGCCACTAAAAAAGAAATAATTGCCATCTAAAAACCATCCATTTTTGCTTGGTTTTTAATTTTCAGGTAACAGGCGCCCAGCACCGAACAGTAGGATGTATTTCGGATCATTGTTGAATTCAAATGATAATAACTCAGCGACTACTTAACCGATTTTCAAAATTTTTCCACCAATCGTTCCCAAAAAACATACATAAGCCCATGTTATATAAGAGGAATTTGCCATTATGTGGTGCGCACGATAAAACTCGTAGGAATTTACCGATTTCATCCAAATTTTGCACAACGTAATATTTCTTTTAATTTTAAATTATGATTTCTATGGGAACTACTCGAGGTATTTTAATAAAATTGGTGTCATATGAAAGGTAAGAACTCCAGCTATTTCGACATAGATTCATATTTACAAAAATATGAAAATTAATATGTGAAAAATCAATTAGGATGATATATTTACAAATTATCATATTAAATTAAATTTCGAATTGCAATTTGCAGATTCTATAACAAGGACAACTAATTTGCCCTTCGATTTGACAACACCTTATTTATACTAATTGAGCAATTTGTTAAATAGTTACAGCCAATGAGAGACAACTCTGAAGAAAAATCACTAAAAACGGAGAAAATTGGCAAACTTGGCGTATTTGTCCTCGTGGGTTCTTAATCACTCGTCATGCGCTTTCATTCCTATAAGGTATGAAAATCGCACATCGTAAGTTCCATTTTGTTGCATTGTGTATCCCTAGGCAATGAACTCCATTTTGTCGCATAGTGTAAAGCAATAGAAATTTTATTTTTTTTTAAGTTATTTAAAATTCCTCAAAATTTCAAAAACATTTTTTTTAAATCCCCTTAGTTTGTAATTTTGAAAAAATAAAATTTATAAATAATTTAAAAATATATTCTTACATTTCTAATGTTTTTTGTTAATTATCAAGCAATTTAGAATAGAGATCACATTCTTGAGTACTTTTTGTTTCTGTTTTTAAATCCAATTGTAAAACTTAAATCTTACTTAAGCCAAACATATACATTCAATACAATTCATTCATTTGGTTTTTGTTTAAAAAAATTTTTGATCAAAAATATTTTTTTTTTTTTTTGAAGAATACAAGCCTATACTAAAATACCTAAGAACTATATACTAAGCCTATATATTTTTAAGGATAATTAAATTTCCAATCACGTTGTGCCAAATTTTAGGGAATATTTTTTTTTTTTTTTTAATTTTGAAAAAAATACTCCTGTCACAGTTAATATTGAGGGGATTTTCTTAAAACTAAATGGTGAATGCTGAAATGAGGTGAGAAGCTTGAGCTGATTTTTTTGTGTATCAAAAAATTGAACAGAATTCAAATATCATAATTTTCCATGTAGAATATTAATATAGAGAAGTAGGAATAGAAATGTTTACCATATTTCTATAAAAAATATTTTTTTCTGGAATTCATTTCTTTGAAATATATTAAAACCTTCAGTGGATTTCAAATTAATTAAAAAGACCTCGAAATTTCAAATCACCACACTTTTTTTACAATAGTTCTTTTCCCATATATATTATTTGCAAACGAAATTATGTGTACGTGCTTGTTCTGATTACTTTATATTACTAATTATATAATTAAAATTTTCAATATTTTGCTGCTTCTTTAGTAGTATTTTTTACAAAAAAATAAAGAAGCCATCAACTAATTATATTAATTACCAATTGTTTAGGTAAAGATGTACTCGGAAAAAATTCACAAACTAAAAAAAGTAAATGAAAAAAAAAATATTTTTTCGTTTTAAATTTAGGACTTAAATGTATACGGATTTTTTATATAAAAAATAAAGGGATATAAGTAATTATTATATAGGTGTTATATTAGAAAAAAGCATTTGCTTTTTTTGATAAATTATTTTTATGTTTATTGAAAAACACAGCATTAATTATTTATATTTAATTAAAAAATATTATTATTAAATTTTCAAAACTCTTTTTTTTGAAAATTGTGATGTTTTAGATTTTTTTAAATTCAAGAAAAAAATAATTATTATTTTTTGGTGTTTTTATGTGTTTAAAATGAAAGGAAAGAAATTAAAAAATAATAACAAAATTCAACAAAATAAAAAAAACTAATAATAATAGACATGTGTAAAATTGTTTATTAAGGGTGTATTTTATTATATTTGTTGTTATATGTATATACATTTACATATAGATATATAAAAAAGGTATATTTTAGATTTTATTGGGTTTGAAAAAAAAATACTTTTGCTAAAAGAATAAAACTAAAAAGAAAAATTATTGTATTAATTTATACCAAAAAAAATATAATAATAAAAAAATAACAAAACAAAAAAATTAAATCAAAAGAAAATTCTCAAAATCCTTTTTTACTTCTTCAGTTATAATTTTTAAAATTATATATATTCGTTTTTAATTACTTTTTTAACTAAAAAATATTTTTTTTAATATTCTTTAAGGGAAGGTTATATTAAGTTAGTTTCGTTTTTGTTCTCTTCTCCGTTTTTTGTTATTGTTAATAAAAAAATTTCACTAAATTATTTTGTTTTTGTTTTTTTTTCTTAGAATTTATGTAAATTTACATAAATAGGAATTCATCGGAAAATAATTGCATGCAAGCAGCGGCTCCCAAACCGCTGGGATTATTATTTTCATTCATGTTAAGATTGTTGTTGTTGGTAGCTGTGTTAGTACCAAACATGGCCGCCTTGGTGGCCTGGTGGTGGGTGTTGTTGTTGTTGTGGTTTCCGGTAGTACGCCAAATATCAGCACATTCATTATTGGTGGAGGATGTATTCGAGCTAATATCTGAAATATTATCAGTGGTAATGGCATGGTGCTGGCAATTCAAATTACTCCACAATTCGGGGAATAAATCATGATGGTTAAATGCCGAACCATTATTATTGTTGCCATTGGTATTCTGGGGTATTTCCCAGATATTATTCATTTTGGACAAATTCAATTCATTTGTATCGTATAACATGTGTTGCTGCTGCTGCTGTTGTTGTGCATTACCAATCGACCAGGAGGTGGGTGAAGTATTGGTGGTGGACAATTTTGAAGAACCTGTGTAATAAGTATCCCTGAGTTGGTTGCCACAACCTGAGCTACTGGTCGATGGTGAGGTCTGCTGCGACCACAGAGACTCCTTGCTGTTGCTGCGATAGTTCGGTGCCGAAGTCAAAAGGGTGGGGCTCAACGATGGCTGTGAACCCGATCCAGAGGAACAACCACTGGAGCTGGACTCTGAACCCCATAGAGAGGATATCATGGCCTCACTGCAATGATTGCCGCCGGCCATGGAATCCAAGGGGAACGTAGCAGTGTTTGATGCTGTCTGATATAGGTTTTGTTGATGTAATTGCTGCAACTGTTGTTGTTGTTGTTGCTGAGAGGACCAAATTTTACTATTCATATTCAGAGTGGTGGTTACATGATTATTGGCATTGTTACTAATTAATAAATTATTAATACTGTTATCATTATTTTGTTGTGGTTGTTGCATTAAACCTAACTGAGGGCCTACTAACTGATGTTGCTGTTGTTGTGCCATAATGGCAGCAGCAGCATTGTTGTGTGGTTTCATTGCATTAAATTCATTTAAATTAAAATTATTTGCCACTGTATTGGTGGTGGTGGCGGCGGCGTTGGCAGCGACAGCCTGTGTACTTAATTTACTAATATTACATTGTTCATTTAATTTTAATGCTAAACTGTTATTAACATTATTGACTGCCGCAGATACTCCGCCGTTGGTTGGCGCAGCCGATGACGTCACAGACGTTGCTCCCGCTGAATTATTAGCATTATTGTATGCCGACGACAACGAGGCAGAACGCATACCATGGCCTGCCGATGCTCTTACCTGTTGTCCTCCTCCTGGCTGCTGCTGCGATGATTTGTGATATTGTTGAGCATGTGGATGAGACCCAATTAATTCAGCATTGATTTCTTGTTGCAATGGTGCCGAATAATCAATATTGGGATTGTATAAGACCACCTTTTTGTTGTTATTGGCGGCGGTGGCCTTTTGTTGAGAGAGGCTCGTTGAAGTTACCCCAGCAGCCGTTGCTGATTGTCCGGCAGCTGTGTTTGTGGGCAACTCCAACGAGGCCTCATGTTATGCGATCGCTGATAGGCGCCCGTTCAGGCATTTGGTGTAACAGTAGGTCAATGGTTTAACGAAATGCGTATCCTGAGTGGCACAATAGGGGCATGTGACACAGTGCGAATAGTCACTGTAGAAATTGAGACGTTGTTGTGGATGTAACAACAATTTGAAGCAATTATTGCACTGAAAAAAGGAAATGAAAAAATATAATTTAAATTAGAATAAACTTTCTTAAACTATTACATTATTATAAATTAAAATTTTATTTTTAAATTATTATTTTTTTACTTACTATTTACTATTTTTATTTTACTATTTATTATTTTTATTTACTATTATTATAATTATTGTTATTATTTATAAAATAATAAAATATATAATTTCATGTATTTAAAATTAAACAATTTTTTCTAAAATTTTTATTCGAAATTTTCGGGGCTAGAATCATAGGAACCCTACATCATTTTCGGATATACACAAGAGATATCCAAAGTGGTGTAGGGTATCATCTAGTCGGTCCCGTTCAACGGTTCCTTTTTCCTTACCCTTCCGATTTTTTTCAGAGTTGTCTTCTACTAGCTCTAACATTTTAACTAATTGCCCGATTAACACAAATGAGGTATGCCAGGCATAAAAAGGGAACTTTAAAACGAGTTGAGACATTTCGACTAATCCAACGGTTATTAAAAATTAAAGGATGCTCTTTATATATAATTTCATAAAAAGCTCCATATTAACATACGAATTTGTCCTTTTGGGTATGAAATATACTCCCCAGAAATGTCCACTCCTCAAAATCTTGTGGCACCGTTGTTGTGTAGTTTTTGTTTCAAACTTTATATCCTTTAAAAAAGAGATCCATTATTTCTATATGAACTATATGTCTTTATTTAACATTCTTTGAAATATTCGATTTGGGCCAAATATGTACCTTTTGTTGTACAATCTGTTGTAATTTTAAAAGTAACTTCATAATGCCTCTCTCATATAAGTTTTGCTCTCTAGTTGTCAACTTTCACAATCCTCCCTAGATACCAATTTTTTATCATTAAATGCAATGCAATAAAAAAAAAAGATAATTGCTTGGTGCCAAGTTCGGATTGTATGGCGGATACAGTAAAACTTCCCACCAGCCAAACTCCCGAAGTTTCTGGCCAGTCACTGTGAATGTGTGTGGACTAGCGTTGTTCTGGTGGAAAACGACACCTCTCCAATTTTGGTCGTTTCTGGTCAATTGCTATCTCCAAACGGTCCAGTTGTTGACAGTGGAGATCAGAATTTAGCGTTTGGCCATATGGAAACAACACATAATAAATAATCCCCTTCCAGTCCCACCAAAAGCATAGCCGTTAGTATCTGAGGTGCTTCACCGCTCTTTGACCACGATCGTTTTTGCACAGGGTTATCGTATGTGATCCATTTCTCATCTTGAGTCACCATCCGCTTAAGAAATGGGTCTTGTTTCTCATTCCGTTTGGCCAAGGCTTCGCAGAGATGGGAATTCGATCCATCCTATTTTTTCTGTTAATTGGTGTGGCAACCAAACATCGAGCTTTTTTTAAATCCAGCATTGTGTAAATGGTTTAAAACTGTTTTATGGTCGATTTTTAGATCCTGGGCGATGTTACGACTGCTAACATTTCGGTCAATTTCGATAATATCTCCCATTTTATCGATATTTACCACGACCGGCTTAATGGATTTAATTTTCCCCAACCTATATAGACTCCCTGCCGTTCAGCTCGTCATATGGACTCCATGTCCCCATGTCTACATATAGACTTCCTGTCCCTCAGCTCGTCTATATAGACTCCCAGTCCCTCAGCTCGTATATATAGACTCCCTGTCCCTCAGCTCGTCTATATAGACCCCCTTCCACTCAGCTCGTCTATATAGACACCCATCCCCTCAGATCGTATATATAGACACCCTTCCCCTCAGCTAGTCTATATAGGCTTTTGATTCTTCAGCCAGTCTATATAGACTCCCTGCCCTTTAGCTCGTATACTGCGTGCCCTTCACTTCGCCAATATAGACTACCAGACCTTCATCACGTCGATATATATATGTCCTGCTTTTCAGCTTGACTATGTAGATTCCCTGTTCTTCAGCTCCTCTATACTGACTCACTGCCCTTCAGCTCTTCTATACAGACTTCCTGCTCTTCAGATCCTCTATACTGACCCCCGCCCATTCAGCTCGCCTATATAGATTACTAGTCCTTCCGACAGTCAATTTAGACTTCTCGTCCCTCAGCTCATCTATATAGACTCCCTGACCTATATTTTGGGGTCTCCAGTCAATTAATTTAAAATTTTGCAGATGAATGACAAATTTAATATACACCACATCTTGGGAGGATATACAAATAATAATTCCCAACGTATCGGTATTGCGTATACGTATTACATTTAGTAATATTACTCATACCAACAATATTAGTAATATGCAGTCGATATCGCTTATAACGAGGTTAAAGGACAGAAAAATTGCCTGTCAAATAAAGTTCGACATTTTTGCGGGACCTTTGTTATAAGCGATATGTCTTTCTATACGATTTTTTTCTGGAATTTATGTACATACATTTCTACATGTACTTACCTTGAGACGTTCAGCACAACATGGCATAGCAGCAAATATATCATAAGCATACATGGTACCCAAGACTAGATTGGAACCGTCCCATTTTTCACCACAGAATCTAACAAATATATTAAAAAATTTTTAAAAAATACATTTTAATATATTAAAAAAAAATAATTATTATCAATAAAATATATATTTAAAATTATATAATTTTGAAAAAAAAATAAATTAAAAATTAACTTAACTTCATATTTTTCAGGAAACTTTAAAAAAGGATATTTAAAAATTTAACTTACCTGCAGCTAATGTTACGATGAGTAGAAGTACCATCCAGACAGCGCATGCAAACGCAAGTCAAATAAACAGAGCGTCCTTCATATTTTACCTGGAAGAAGAAGAAGAAAAATTAAAGCATAACAATCAAAAAATCTTGTGCAAACAACAAACTAACAAAGAAAGGAAGTACTGAAACTGACATTTTACATCCCTTGTTGAGGGTGTAAAAAAACTAATGTGTAACAACCCTTCAAGAAAAAACGACAACAGCAAAGCAAACAAACGGAAGTGGAAGTCAAACTTTAGGCCTGGGCAAAACAATTTTTTGTTCGAAGTAAAGAAAAAACAAAAATAACAAACAAACTGCCGAAAGTCAAGTGCAACTGTGTAAAAAGTGATAAATGGCCATGTAGTGGTGTTATGGCCAAAAGGCGACAAAACAAATAAACCAACGAAAATAACAACAGACACAATATGACATGACAAAAAAAGAGAGAAGAGGGAGAACAAAATGCAATTCTTTTGGTGCCGACATGATGATGGAAAACAAATTCAGAACAAGTAACAGGAACCAAAATAAAAAAAACTGCAACAACTTTGTAAGGGACATTGAGCGAATGCATTTGGGTCGTAAATTAAAAAAAAAATAAATAAATAAACAAAAAATACAACCCAAACATGCAACATATTTCAGTGGGTGACAGATTGGCAGGCCTGAATGGCTGGATAGTCTAACGGCAAAAGGATAGCTGCAACGAAATTAAGGCAACCATCCACCAACCAATCCAGACAACACAAATACAGGGCCCAAAACACATCAAACATTATCAGACATTGTTTGTCTCTTTGTTCGTTGGGAACATAATAAACGCCTCCTAAAAATAACTGACAGCCACGAGACAAACAATGAAAAATTATAACCATAAGGGAAAGACGACAACTATGAAAAAAAACCGAACAGCAAAAATTAAAACTTTCTATGCATACTCGTCGATTGGGCTAGGTTAAGAAGAAAACAAGGCAAAAAACATTTCCGTAAACCCACTACATCCCACATAGAGACGACAGTTAGTCAGTCAGTTAATAATTTTTTGTTTGCTGTCACACAAAATACAAAAAAGAGAGTTTCAAATTAATGCATCATGTCGTTGTTTTATTTTCTTTATTTTTTCCATATTCCTCTAAGGGGGATCCGAAAGGGGGAAAAGATATATTAATTTGATATAAATGCATTTTGTTGCATTTGGCAAAAATAGAATGAATGAATGACTGACACATAACTTGTGCCCAATATGACATATGTTGTTGTGAACGGATGGATGGATGTATGGATAGAAGGAAGAAAGTTAGCTTTCCATGTTGTAGGTAAATCTTTTACGCCTACACAGGCTTTGAGGTGAAATAACCCAGTGAACAATTGAGAAATTGTGGAAACATATTCATATATTTTTAGGCGGCCAGAAGGGATTATTGGTGTTGAATGAGCTTTGATAAAAAGGGATAACAATATTAAATTATGTCCTGGGCTCCTAGATGTATGAGGTGGAATAACCCTGTGAACAATTGGGAAATTATGGAACAATATTCATATATTTTTGTTAGGCTCCCAGAAGGGGTTTTTAATGTTGATAAGGAGGGATAACATTATTAAATTATTTCCTGGGCTCCTAGAAATATTATTTTACAGACTCTTTTGTTAAAAGAGAGGAAGAAATAATGTACATAGCAATCGAAGTAAGGAGTTACATGGATTTCCATAAACTACGTCGACCATTCAGATCGTATCTGCTTCTCTATAGCAATTAAAAATTTTTAATAGGCGATCAGAAATGTAGGACTTTCAATAGGTGGTCATTCGAACGGAATTTCTATCAATTCATTCGATAGTATTTTAAATTCATATTGGATTTTTAATCATCTTAGAAATCTGAGAATTTTTGGGAAAAATTTTAAATCAATCAAAATCTCACATTTCTGGGAGTCTGATAAGAATAGGTGAATCAACATGAAGGAGAGTTTGAAAAAGTGAAAAGGAGAAGAATTTCAGAATTTGATCAAAAATGTATTCCAGAGAGGGCCTTATTCAGAAAAGGTCTAAAAAACCATATATTGCTGGTGAAAAATACAACTATAAGTACATTAATGCTTCAATGGTTTAAAAATTTATAATTTTCTGTAGGTCTCATGCATAATAAGTACAGGCCAAAAATGATTGCTTTTTCTGTAGGTGGGCATGTGAAAGGCATTTTTAATTCTGATTTGTATCTACGTATATAATATAGTTTTCTGGGTGTTGGGTAAGAAAATCATAATTTTCGTCAAAATGTGACGATTTGATTTGAGATATTTTTAAATCCAACATATCATATCAACAATGTGAATAATTCTGAGCGCCGTGTGGAAGAAACTTTATTTCTTCAGATAATAGAGAGTATGTAAAAAAAAACAAAAGGAAATATTTCTGTGAGCCTGATAAGAAAGAAAATTTTCATAATTATTTATGTAATCGGAGGCGGAATAAAAAACGTGCAATATGATCAGATATTTCTGGGCTTCTGGTAAGGTCTACATGAAAGAGAGAGTGTGGAATGGATTTTACAACAGCCTCCTGAGCGCCTGATGAGAAAAAACCTTCAGAATGTTCCGTGCAATCGACGGGAGAACAGGAGGGAGAATAAAAGGGGGGCAATATCATCAGATATTTCTGGGTATTTTAAACAAATGAGTAAGGGCTATATGAAAAAGCGAAGCTGGAATGGATTTTATAACAAACAGCCTCCGGATATTTCTGAGCATCTGATTACAAATTTTTATTTTATCAGCATCAGAGATATAATGAATGAAAAGAAGGGATTCTCGGCGTCTGATAAAAATTATTTTTTTTTTTGAAATTTTTGGTCAATAAAAATACAGGGGAGTATTTTAAATTTATCCTATTTAAATCTTAACTTTATGAGCGCCTGGCAAAACATTGAGAATTCTTTATTGGGTGGAAAATAATTCGGCAATACAACATCAAGCTATTAAGAACATGACAATTCTGAGCGACGATTATAGATTTTTTTATTTTTACATCGATAGAAATTGGCACAAGTTTGGCTTGTAAAATTATAATATACTAAATATTTCTGGGCGCCTAGTAATAAATCTGAATTTACAGTTTTCTAATTTTGAATCTCTATAGCTCATAAAAATTGCCAGAAAGAGGAAGAAAATGTAATCTGATACTTCTGAGCATCTGGTGAATTTTTGTTTTTAGAGATATATGACAAAGAACGAGAGTATGGAAGGGGAGTATAAAAATTTTATTAGTCCCAAAGCACCATACTGAAAATTGATGGGAGCCTGGTAATAGCATTTTCCGCATGATATATTGCCCGAATTCTGAATTAAAGATAGGTAGATCTTAAAAAGAGGGCATGAAAGGAATTTGCAGTAATAACTGTAGACATTGACCATTTATATAAAAATTCTATAAAATACATTTTCTGAACAATACAATTTTGAATTTTTCGATTGGTATAGCACGAATCTATGTCGTAAAATACATGGTTTTCAAAGAAGATTGGAAAAAACTAGAGTTCCTTTAAAATAATTAAAGGTAAATGTGGTAAACCGTTCAACTTTCATCGATTTTTTTCCCTCAGTTCAATGTACGACTTACTTCTATAAAAAATCTCTAAAACATGAATAGATTGAAATTCCTACTGGGCGTCCAAACCTATAGTAGGTGGATAGCCCAGTAACTTTTTAAAGAATTTAAATTAGAAAATGACCAAGAACATTCTGTGTGGAGTAATGGCTTCTATGTAAATGATATGATCAGAAATGTAACAAATATACAATTATATTTACTTATATAAAAAAGTTTTACTGGGTTTTGCCCTGCTAGCCACATAATCACCCATTAATGCCAGACAATATGCAGCAGCAGCACATCATAAGACACCACATCACATCAGTTGTAAGTGTAATCAAGCAAAATTTTCATTGCAACATTTTACGAAAAACACACAAACTGCATTTTAGGGTTAAACATTAAATGCAGCTAGCATGGCTTTTTGGATGGTTGGTTGGTTTCTTCAATGAATGCAGATAGGCGGCATTAAGAAGAAGGTGGCGGCAACGGTGGTATGTAAGTGTCAGGGTATATTAAGGAATGTGTCTGTGCCAAAGTGTAGACATAATCATTTATAAGACAACAACAAAAACAGTAACAACACTAAAAATTAACATGGTTTGGTAAGTATGGTAAGATGTAAGGTAAGTCATATACAGTTGGTTGGATGGATGAATGAATGGATGGCTGGTTGGTTGGACAGACAGAAAGTCTTAACTTTCTGCAATTGCATTAGGAGTTAAAGTTTTGGCAAACTTTAGCCTAACCCACACACAAAAATTGGGGTCTCTCGAAACATATGCACATTTTATATACAGCCAGGCAGAGAGTCAGCCAGTCAGTCACATCATTCACAAAGGTTGCCATGACAAGCCAAAGTGTATGAAGGATGAACAAATGAAAAAAAAGTTTATGCATTAATGCTAACTTAGTTAGGAAAGCAGTTAAAAGTGTTTATGGTCTGCAAAAGAACATCGGCTGGTGGTGTAGGTATAATTATTGCAGCCTGGTTGCCAATAAAAGGTAGAAAGTTGAGAATGAATAGAAGACGACAACAACAACGCAGCGTAGAAGTTCAAGGTTTTATGGCATTTAACATAGAGTTAAATGATCATGCAGACGCCAAGAACTCATGAAACCTCATGTGGCTTTATGGAGGATTTTGGTGGGGGCTAAGACGACTTGCTACATTAAAGTCGATTATTAGCGTTGGGGGTTTAGTTTTTTTTTTTTGGCATAATTATGGTGGCTTAAATGTTGCATAAATTGCACTGGCAATGAATGCATTTCATTGCGTTGCAAGACACATTGCCAATATAGTCATCGTCACCATCATTACCAGCCAAACACCGACAATAGCTTGTGTCTGTCTTGCGCCTTTGGTAATGAAATATGCCACAGGAAAATGTTATAAGCTCTAAACAAGATTTACGACTAAAACAAAGCTGTGTGTGTGTCGGTGTCTGTATCTGCCGACATGTATCTTTTGTGTAGTTCTAAATTGCTGAATAATGTCCTCATTTACAATTTTCTTTCCGTTATTTCCGCTTGACAATAAAAAAGGGATAATAGCCGACCCACAACAATGTATAAAATATATAAATTTTTTTTCTCTTTCTCCAGATATGATTAACAAATGAGATACAGTTTTCTATAAATTATGTGACATGATTGTCGGGAAATTATAGCATTGGAGGTAGAACGATGCAATTAACAAAAATATGTATAAATGCAATTTTTTAAATTTTGAGAAGGATTGAGGTACGGAAATGAAGGGAATAATCCTTGGTTTGAATTGTTATAAGTTTTTGAAAGATTTGTAGATGAATATCACCAGGAGTAGAGAGTGCGACCATATGGGGGTACATTTGTGGTAGCCGTGAAATATCGATCGAATGGACACTCTCGATTATGGAAGATCGGGAGAGATAGATCATTGATGATGATAGTCTTTTCAAAACACATATATGTACTCTGGCAAAATTTAGCTTTGTAAAAGAATATTTTCGAGAATATGGATTAATATAGACGTGTGTTTTTTTTTTTTTTTTTGAAGGACAAATATGGGCGAAGTTTTTTAAAAAATATTTTTCTTAAGCACTAATATACGCGTGGCCTAATATAGACGTGTTTTGTTTTGAAGGGCAAATATGGGCGTGGTTTTTTAAAAAAATATTTTTGAAGGGCTAATATAGGCGTTGTTTATATTTTTTATGGCCTATCCAAGGCGTGGATTTTTAAAGGCCTAATTTTTATACCCTACACAACTATGTTGTCAGGGTATTATAGCTTTGTGCAGCCCCAAATGTTTGTAACGCCGCGAAATATTGGTCCTAGACCCACCTTTAAGTATACCGATCGTCATATCTCGACTAGCTGAGTCGATCTAGACATGTGTGTCCGTCCGTCCGTCCGTCCGTCCGTCTGTCCATTATAATTTGTAAACACGATACAGGCCACAGTTATGGACCAATCTTCACGAAATTTTGCATGTAGGATGGGTTCTGGCCAATGAAGACCCCTATTGTTTTTGGAAAAGATCGGTTAATATTTAGGGGGTGAAATGGACCAAATACTAAATTTTTGTCGGTTTTTCTGGTCGCTCCAGAGGCCGCAATAATGGCCCGAACATCGTGAAATTTTGCATGGAGAAGGGGATCGGGCCAGATAATAAGCATGCATGTTTTGATAAAGATCGGTCAATATTTAGCGGGTCAAATGGACCCTGACTTTTGTGTGAAAAATGACAAAATTTGTTTTCTATGGCATATATATTTACTCCTGGAGGGTGTAGACCCCAGGAGTTGATAGCATATCCAAGAGGAGTGGTTGGCCTTTAAATTGATACCAAATATAGTGATGTATCTACTCAGATGTGGGAGTTACAGTCAAATATTTACAGGTGCTTACGTATTCTGATATTATTTAGTAACCCATTACCACATTAGAGGGAGAAATATCGCGCTGATGGCTTTGAAATTGTTCATGAGGTTCCAGTTATGGTCAAGAACAACGCCTATAATTTTCGGTGATGATCAGATTAAAATTTTGGGATGAAATGGACGGAGAATATAATTTTTTGTGTGTTTTCGAGTAGAGTATAATCCAAAAATCACAACACAACCCACCGTGAAGGTAATCTGGTAATTAGAAGGACTGTACTGAATATTCGAAAATAGTAAGGAAGAGGTGTTGTTAACCTCTAATCGGACAAGAGGGGGCAAATATCACGAAATATTACTCAGACTCGGAATAAACATCCTCAGAAAGTTAGAGTTCGTGGTAGTTGTGTAGGGTATCGTATGGTCGGCCCCGTCCGACTATACTGCTCCGCTCACTGGTTTAAAGAATATTTTCTCAAGGCCTAATTTAGGATTGGAGTTTTTTAAAGAATATTTTTTCAAGGCCTAATTATACCCTACACAACTATGTTGTCAGGGTATTATAGCTTTGTGCAGCCCCAAATGTTTGTAACGCCGCGAAATATTGGTCCTAGACCCACCTTTAAGTATACCGATCGTCATATCTCGACTAGCTGAGTCGATCTAGACATGTGTGTCCGTCCGTCCGTCCGTCCGTCCGTCCGTCTGTCCATTATAATTTGTAAACACGATACAGGCCACAGTTATGGACCAATCTTCACGAAATTTTGCATGTAGGATGGGTTCTGGCCAATGAAGACCCCTATTGTTTTTGGAAAAGATCGGTTAATATTTAGGGGATGAAATGGACCAAATACTAAATTTTTGTCGGTTTTTCTGGTCGCTCCAGAGGCCGCAATTATGGCCCAAACACCGCGAATTTTTGCATGGGGAAGGGGATCGGGGCAGAGATTAAGCATGCATGTTTTTATAAAGATCGGTCAATATTTAGCGGGTCAAATGGACCCTGACTTTTGTGTGAAAAATGACAAAATTTGTATTCTATGGCATATATATTTACTCCTGGAGGATGTAGACCCGAGGAGTTGATAGCATATCCAAGAGGAGTGGTTGGGCTTTAAATCGATACCAAATATAGTGATGTATCTACTCAGATGTGGAAGTTACAGTCAAATATTTACAGGTGCTTACGTATTCAGATATTATTTAGTAACCCATTACCACATTAGAGGGGGAAATATCGCGCTGATGGCTTTGAAATTTTTCATGAAGTTCCAGTTATGGTCAAGAACAACGCCTACAATTTTCGGTGATGATCAGATTAAAATTTTGGACCGAAAACTTAATTTTTTGTGTGTTTTCGAGTCGAATATAGTCCGAAAATCACAACACAACCCACGGTGAAGGTAATCTGGACAAGTAATTAGAAGAACTGTACTGAATATTCGAAAAAAGTAAGGAAGAGGTGTTGTTGACCTCTAATCGGACAAGAGGGGGCAAATGTCACGAAATATTACTCAGACTCGGAATAAACATCCTCAGAAAGTTAGAGTTCGTGGTAGTTGTGTAGGGTATCGTATGGTCGGCCCCGTCCGACTATACTGCTCCGCTCACTGGTTAGGGTGTGTTTTTTTTTAAGAATAATTTTTAAAGGACTAATTAAGGTGTGGTTTTTAAGACGTGAATATTTTTTCAAGGTCCTTATGAGGAATATTGAGATGTAAATGTTTTTTTTTCAAGGTCCTTCTGAGAAATATTAAGATGTGAATATTTTCCAAGGACCTTGTGAGCAATATAAAGATGTGAATTTTTTTTCAAGAACTTGTGAGGAATATTAAGATATGAATGTTTTTCAACGACCTTTTGAGGAATATTAAGATGTAAATATTTATTCAAGAACCTAGTGATAAGTGTTTTACTTATATAAGAGGTGTATTTGTAAAGAAAATTTTTTAGAATTATCACACTAAAAAGTTCCCTAGTAACTCTTGTATGAGAAGTGGACTTTTAAAGAATACTTTTTTTGGCCTTTATGGGTTTTGGATTTTTGAAGGAATATTTCTTCAATGACTCTTTGAGATATGTCACTTTTAAAGAATATTTCTACGAGCACTCTGTGAGAAGTAATTTTAAGTAATATTTGAATGAGAAGGTTTCGGAGGTGTTAGTTTGAATAAAACTGAAAAATTTATTAGGTTCGGATTTGTGGGTTTTCAATTCTATGTAATGTTATTAGAATCCGACATTTCTGATCGGTGACAGATCAATAATACTGAAGGGAAAAAGAGATTTTATTTATTCTTTGAGTTCGATACTTCGCTGGATATACAATATTTTGACAAATAAATATTTTTTGAAATATAAGGAGGTAACACTAATTTTAAGATAGAAAGAACAAAGACAGAATGTCTTTGGTTTAATTTCATTATTCAGCTGAAAACCCCTCAATTTGCCCGATTTTTTTTTCTTGGGAAAATTCCCATGGAGATAGTTGAAATATAATGGCTTCAATTTAATTGTTATTCCATTACTTTTAATTTAATTTTTATTTCAGGGTTGTCACACATAAGGTTTTTTTATTTTTTTAATTGAAAATATATTTTGTATTTTTTACTCACCTCAATGCAATCCGTTGAATGTTGTTTGGGACTCAAAAAGAATGTACCATCGACCAATGGGTAACGGTCGAACACCAACATTGGTTCCTCGCACAAAATGCATGCAACACGGCTCTTTTGTGACTGAGCCAAGGAGGAGAGAATGAAAAGTCTGGTTTCATCATTGCCATGATTACCCTCGTCTTCAATCTAGAATGAAAATAGATAGAGAACATAAATAACTTCAAATTCGAAAAAAAAGAAATAAAAAATTGAAACCATAAATACAAAATATTATAAGGCTTTGTGATCAAACATCCACACACAAAAAAGGACATTGACCATGAAAATAATGTGAGAAAAAAAAAACGTGTATATATAATATTTCAGCAGGGTTAAAACAAAGGTGTAACAGCACACAAAAAAGGATTACGTGTGCTTGTACTCAAAGGGGATATCCTTTCAGGGTTTTCTTTTTTGTTTCATATTTTTTCTATAAAGTCCTATCACAATAAAAAAAACCTGCATACATGTTATGCTTTGGTGGTCTCACATGTGAATCCTGGGATCTTTACTATACACACACTATATATTGTCTTAAATTCCAATTTTCTGTATTGTGTTGTGCATGACTGGCCGGGCTGGCTGCCGGTACATCTATATTTTGTATATTTTGGCGGCGCCAATAAATGAAGCATAAAATGAAAACGTGCCACTTTTTTGGCCAAACGAAAAAAAAAATAAAACAAAAGCAATAATATCGTAACCAATATCAGCTACCAGTTATGTGTCTGCTGCTATGAAAGGAATATTCAATGAAATATCAACATAGCCGAAAAAAAATAAATTTCATATATTATGAACATCAATATATCCTCCGGGGTAGACAGAATTTTTCTTTTCTCATTTATATATATATATATTTGGTTGCAAAATTGAATTCAATTGTCCAATATTGCTAGTATTATATTTCACAGATGAATATAGTTAAAATAAATAAATGTTTTTTTTTTTAATCTGTAGGCATTTTTCAATCAATAGTGAAATTTGGAAGGACTATACGAGGTCTGATGAAAAATCACTATTTCAATGAAAAATCACTATTTTCAATGTTACGGATCTTCGTTTCAAATGAAAATTTCCACAAGAACCAAGTTTTGTTCTAATTTAATTGAGTGTTGTGTAATTGTGGTACATCCTGAAATCTTGTCGTACAGCCTATACGTATTACAACCTTTAAGATTTCCCAAGACACAGAATTGTGGAAAAACAAACATAGACTTTGCGCCAACATAAGCCGCCATCCCACACATCGAAGCTTATGCGTGAGGTTTTGGCCGAACAAAAAACTGTTATCCCGTCCTTACGGGAATTGGTCATTGAAGAATTTTTTCTCTTCCAAAAATGAAGACACCGATTAAAGGGAAGCGTTTTGCGACAGTTGAGTATATAAAAGAACAGCCGAAGCAGGAGTTGCTTTTGGCATTTCAATTTGGCAGATTGACTCATGTGTCGAAGTATGTGTCAGCATTTGTCATTTTGTTCGCGAAACTTCGAAATATTCACCGGAGACCCGTAAAAGTATAAATATTCTTGATAAGAATACAATTCTATTAAAACCACTATAGAGCTTACAATTTTTAAGATCGAAAATTTTGCACATACATTGTAACCACTCCCCGGATGTTTGGTATTGAAAATGGGATATACCGGTACACGTTTTGCTATAGGCTCCATATATAATTGTATTCTAAAATATTCGATATTTTGGAGATTATTGGTAAGATGGCTGTAATATGGTACTTTGAGTTTCCGTTGGGTAGCACATCTTCCCCTACGAAAAATGTTCGATACAAGTCTAGTTTTTATGATAGCTCCCATATAATGGTACCCGAAAATATTCAGTATTTTGAGGAGTTTGAGTGGGTTTTTAAACTCTAATTTGGTTCTCATAGAATGCCAAACAAAAACTGTCATAGAATGCCAAATGTTCCTACAAAAAAATTACCGTGGGATAACCGCCATTTATACAGGTCCCGAAAAGTCCAGCTAATGGTAATATGACAAAGGTCCTTCAAATCTGGCCCTCGTGTCACAGACCTTTGTCATGTAACATATCGTGAGAAACAAACAATAGAAATCGAATCATTGGTCATTCAGGCTTAAGACAATGTTAGTTTTCAGTATTTTGAGGAGTTTGGGTAGATTTTGAAACCGAATTGGCTCTAATTTGGTTCTCATAGAATGCTAAATCTTCCTACCAAAAAAGTACCATGTGATAGGCCGCCATTTATGCAGGTCCCGAAAAGCCCATATAATGATTATATAAAGAGGGTCCTTCAAATTTGGCCCTTTGTCATGTAACATATCGTGAGAAACAAATAATAGATATCAAACCATTGGCCTTTCTGGCCGAAGATAAAGGTCGTCACAGGTGATAAATCACGGATTTATACATATAATCCCGAAATCGTCTTCGACGATGAGCCAAATCCAACGAAAATTGATCGTGGAAGAAGCACTTCGAGCAAATGATTTTTTCGTTGCAGAAATTTGGAAGGATCGGTTATTTTATGAAAGTTCGGGAGACAACAATAATGACCCGAACATAAGATAATTTTACGGGGGCGAGGGGATGACTATTTTGAAAATCATCTGTAAACACTTAGACTTTTATTTGAAATATTTCGGTATTTTTTATTATTGTGTATATGTTAAATCTGGAAAGGCTCGATTTGCAAAAAATATCAGTTGTGAAGGGGTTACATCTTCTTATATGAGAATGGAAATATTGAGAAATTTTGCCTGGCTCGGCGGTCCAGGGCATAAAAATAGTCGACCCCGTTCGCCTATACTGCACCACTTACAAATTTCAAATATTTGAATAAATATCGAAGACTAAAATATGCCATAATAAATTATTATTTTATATTTCTTTAACATTTATATATAAAGTATTAAATTATGTCTTGGGAAATATTACAGACAATTGCCCTCCACATGTGTTCAACTAATGTTCCTTACATTCCAAAATATAGTTCTCTTCCACTCCCTTGATGTTTCAATGTAATTACATACTTAAGTACTATTAAAAGTACATTAAAAACAGGTCGGTACTCTTATTACACACATTTTATTCCTTCAGAATCCTGTATTTCAACACAACCTGAACCAAGTTCGCCTGGTTAAATGCTTAACCTTTGTCTTTAGAGACCTTTATCAGTTTTTTTTTTGTTCTGTCGGTCTGTCGTTTATTATATCCTTACTTGAAATTGGTTTTTATTGTTTTTTTCTTGTTCTTATTATAAGTTTTTACCTTTATAATACAATAAAGATTGTATGTGCATATATTGTGTGTGTGGTCGTCGCAATTGATTACAAACGAATAAGAAAAAATATGTTTGGTACTTATTTTCTTACACACACACATTTGCAAACATATATACAAAAAATATATATGACGATTCCAGCACACACAGACGACGACTATTGAAATAAATTGATTTTATATGGACGTGTGGGTTCGGATCACATATGCGATGATGGAGCTATACGAATAAAATTAGCTTGGGATATATTGCACGTTTTCAAGACTAAGAAAAGAAAAATTTAGCAATTTATCTTAAGGAGAATGTTTTCATTCTTTTTTCCATATAAGAGAGATATGTTATTTTATTTTTTTGAAGAACAAGTTCAGTCTTTATTTGTAGTTGGTGTATTCATATGTTTCTTAACATGAACTTTATTTGTTGTTGTTATTGCTTCCCCTTTGCGTTATTGCAATTTTATTATCAATTTACGTACACTCATTGACTAAATAATTCAAATTGTCATAGAACAAACAAAAACGAAACGAAAGGTACATTCACATGTCTGGCTTAACATTGTAATACAATTGGAGATATATAAACCTGATGTATGTTGGAGTTTATGTGTGTCTTTGGCACTTAAGGACCTCCTTTCAGTCGCTTGCATGTTCTATTATTTAAGGTAAATTCAACATCTAAAGGTTACATGACCCTTAATAAAATTATTGGTATTTTGGAGGATTTTTTTTTTCTTTTGTTTTCGTGCATTGCTCAGCACCGAAACAATGACTCAGTGGAATTTTCACAGACAATTTATTATTGAACCATTGTACTATATACCTAACTTCCATAAATTATGATAAAGGTGAGAATAAGAAATTAATTGTATTTGAAACAACAATAACCCTTTATTAAATCGTATTGAAATATTAGGGGGACTTCATAAAAATATAAAAAGGTGTTTGGAATATATTGACCTCAATTAATACGATTATAGGATATTTAAAATTTCAAAAAAGTCCTTTATAACCCTTGTAAATAGCATATAAAAATTATTAAAGTACGGCTCACACAATAACAGTTTTGTTAAAACATTAGTAAGAGGTTACGAATTTGCTAGAAGTTAATCTTGAGGGAAATGGGAGGAGTAAAATACAGATTTTTCTTGGATTACCTGGAAAGGATTATTTGGACATTTGCAATATTATACGCAGAATAAAGGGGGTACAATATATTTTTTGGCACACTTCTGATATTTCCCTTTAAAAATGTGACTTTTTTAGCATAAACGTGCATAATTCGGCTTGGCGTACGACCATTTGTTGTGTTGCTAGAAAAATCATATTGAAATATGCATATAGAAACATTTTCGTGTCATCATTTCCCCAAAAATCGACATGGTTTATCATGAGTGTATCGTGCAATCGATCGAAGTACATCGATAAACTTAAATCCTTGTACGTCGATGAAACACCATCCAATTCCACTCAAACCACCGATTTATTGATTTCAATCATGCCCAAATCAAGTCGGCGTTGTGCGTGAAATGCAAGATCGCCATGTGACTTTTTGTACACCCCATTATGAGGTGGACATTTAAAATATCTATAAACCTTCATAAATGGCGGACTATCCCAATAAGTGCCAAATTTGAGCCAACTCGATGAAAAACCTACAAAAAGTAAGTCCGACAGATTTGCTAATTGGCTGTACTCCCAAAACTGCCGAATCCTTCCTTTGGCAGTTCATTTTTATTTTTGCCACTAAAAAGTACCAAATTTCAACTAATTCGGTTAAAAACATGCAAAAAAAAAAAATCCAAATTCCGATTTTTTCGGCAGATGACTGTACTGATAGATTTCTCGTAAAGTATCGATCAAACAATATCAGATTTATGCTCGC